CCCCCCAAGAAGTCAATATTTATGCAACAGTAGATGAAGAATTATAAAGATGCTTTTATTGATTTTGTGCGATTTTAATGCCATGCAGATGGCCAGAGTGTGCTGGTGGTTTTACTTCTCTAAAGTCATTGAACTTACTGATACAGTAAGTGAATCTAGTTCTTTGATATCAGATAGCATTGTTTATTAATGTCTTATGATGTTTTATTACATAAATAAGTAAATGGCATTATCATCAGGTGTTCTTCATTCTGAGGAAGAAGAACAATCAACTGACCTTTTTGCATGTGTATCATCACGGCACCATGATTTTCAACTGGTGGGCAGGGGTCAAGTATGTTGCGGGAGGGCAGTGTAAGTGTTCTTACCTTGGAGTAAGACAGATTATTTTATTTACATGCAACAGTCCACTTAGCATGATGTTACAATGTTATACTATCAATCAAGAGACATATTTAACGCAAAGGTTGTGTCAAGGTTTTGAATAGAGGTGAAGTTTAAAGAAATAGTTCACACAAAAAGTATAATTTGCTAAAAATGTACTCACCCTCAGGCCGTTCAAGATATGCTTGAGGTGTTCCCAATCAGAACAGATTTTGAGAAATGTAGCATCACATTATTTGCTCATCAATGGATCCTCTGCAGTGAATGCCATCAGAATCAGAGTCCAAATGTCATGTAAAGTGAAAAGCTACATGTTTGTAATTGACAAATTCATTATTAATCCGTCATAATTTTTGTCCTATCACATCAAAATCCACCGACATATTGTTTTACAACTATTTTGGACTGTTTCCCCTTGTAAACAGTGCTTAATCTGTGCATATTTCTCTCCTGATTCAGACAAAATGACTTTCACTGGAAAAATAAGTATTTTGGATAGAACGCTCCTATTTTAGCCGGAAACAACGATGTGAAGTTAAAAACATCTTAATAATGAATTTATTACAAACACAGTTTTTTTTACTTCACAAGATGTTAATGGATGGACTGGAGTTGTGTGGATTAATGTGATGTTTTTATCAGCTGTTTGGACTCTCAATCTGACGGCACCCATTCACTTTCTCCCAATCTGTTCAACTGATCTGCATCTTGGATTTTTGGGTGAACTATTCCTAATCATTGTGTAACATAAACTATTAGGTTGAACTATTGAAGGTCCAAAAGTCTGAGACAACATTTAAAATATAATTTAAATCTGGTATTACGGTTTTTCTGAATTGCTAAAACACATTTCTTGAAACCATCACTCATTTTCTCAAAACCTTAAATACAAATCCAAATACTCAAACTAAATTCCTGAAACCTCTGACTCTTCCATCAAAATCAAACAATAACTGCAAAACCATTTTACTTGCACTCAAAATCAAACGGTGCTCTCAGATCACACACACATGAGTCAATAAAATAAACACTACAGACAGAGCATTCATCAGACACTACAGAGAAAAATGGAGAGCACAGCACCCAGAACATTACAGAAAAAAAGTATATTGTATTGAGTAAATTTTGCAATTCTGTAAAAAAGTATAGTAATTACAATTAATTACTAGTAAGTACACACACACACACACACACACACACACACACACACACACGAGTCAATAAAATAAACACTAAAGAGCATTCATTAGACACTACAGAGAAAAATGGAGAACACAGCATCCAGAACATTACATAAAAAATTATATTGAATTGAGTAAACAATTTTTTTTAATTGTAAAAAAAAAAAAAATTATAGTAATTGCAACTAAGGTGAATATATTGTATAGGCCTACTGTATGTACTGCAAGAATGGTATTGTGCTGAATACTGAATAGTACTGAATGTTTGTATATATTCAGTAGTTGGATACTGCAAAAATACTACAGTTCAACTGCAAAGGCCAAAATGGTCAAATAAAACTCTAAATAGCATGTTACAGTACACTTAAATACTGTAAGTTGTGCAATTGTAAAATCAGGGTCAATGAGAGATTAATTCTGTCTCAGCATCATGTCTTTGTGCTTGAGTCCGGCCTCAGGACTTTGTCCACATCACAAGTAATGTCTTTTTTGCTAGACAAAGAGAAAAAACCCCTCTGGTCTGACAGATCCAGCATTGATAACGCTCTCTAAACCTTACTCCTTCTCTCCGCATCCTCTTTCTCCTCATCCTCCACTTCTTACATGTACTCTTCCACCTGTCCTTCTCAGATTGTTTCCATCTATTGTTCGTATCATCATTCAGTCACCTGTGCCACTTGTCCACTCTGAACTGCCTCATATTTTGTACAGTTGGTTTGATCACATCGTTAGAAACAAGTGTGAAAAATTTTGAATCGTGTGTAAACGATGACAACTGTGCTTTAGTTGTGTTTAACGTTTGCCGCTTGTGTTTAGCATTTTGCAGCACAAATGCATCACAGTGTGATAAGTGTTTAAGTGAATGAGAATGTGTTTAGAGTTTTGCAAAAAGAGTGCATGAACGTGTTTAAGGTTTAGCAGAAAGAGTGCTTTATTCGACAAATTGGTTTAAGCTACTGAGAATTTGGTTCAGAGATTGGGGTTTAGTGTTTTAGCAATTCAGAAAAACTGTAAACTAGCACGTACGTTTCTATTGAAGCATAAGATGCCGATTAGGTCATGTCAAATCACGCTGGAGACTTTCATGTTAATTTTCACCCAAATTATGCTATAATTGCAGTATAATTTGTAATAAAATATTTTGGACCCCACTGTATTAATGTACTGTAATTAACTAAGAATTTTTTCAGCTCCTAAATGTGATTTTCCAGTTTGGGGGGTGATGCAGATGCAGTAGCACTCTGACACCACTAGATGATGTATTGCTTCAGAAATAGACAATGAAAGTATTGTGAAATGCATGTGGTATTGTCTTTATGTTAGGCAACTGATGCAATATTTTATTCAGAGTGCCATATGTTCTGAAGTGTCAAGGCAGAGAAGGATTTCCTAAAGATGTTATCTTTCCCTCAGCATTCCTTATTGGCCTCATAAACTCTTTTGTTCATGTGGTAATGTATATGTACTATGGCCGGGCAGCATTGGGCCCCCAAATGCATAAGTACGTGTGATGGAAACACTACCTCACTTCGCTTCAGCTGGTGAGACTTTCAAATATTATTTTTTTTAGGGAATAATAATTTAACATAAATGCTCGGTCACTTTTGTATCACTCTCTTTCTTTGTCCCCCTCAGCTCCAGTTCTTCATTGTGACCATTCACAGTGCAGTTAACCTCTATGCTGACTGTGACTTTCCTGACTCCATGAATATTATAATGCTCGGCTATGCCTTCAGCCTGATCGCTTTGTTTAGTAGCTTTTATTATCAGAACTACATTTCCAAGAAGACCAAGATGGCATGATAGCGTGAAGATTAAAATATATATTACATACTATGACTGTTTGAATAAAAATGTGTCATCCATTGATCCACAATGTGGCGATTGAGACTGTCTTAAGGACTCTGTTTAATCCTTTATCTCAGATCCATTTGTCTGTGTATTCTCCCCTCCTCCAAACAGAGTCCAATCTCTACACTCCCATCCCCCTCTGGTCATTAGGGTTTGAGACCCTGCAACGCTCTAGTGATCTGGCCAAATTGAAATAAACCCGAGTCCACCTTCTGCTCCTCACTCACTTATTTATCTAATCTCCCAATGTGACACTTTTATTTGTTTACCACTCATTGGATAAGGTCAACCAATCACAGTGTAGCTGGGGGGAGTGGCGTATTTAGGGCTTCTCTACAGCTGCCCTCTTCTACCAGGTCTTAAACCTATACCTTTTTAAAATACTGAATGTTACCTCTAAAAGGTACTATATATATACAGTGGGGCAAAAAAGTATTTAGTCAGCCACCAATTGTGCAAGTTCTCCCACTTAAAAAGATGAGAGAGGCCTGTAATTTTCATCATAGGTATCCCTCAACTATGAGAGACAAAATGAGAAAAAAAAATCCAGAAAATCACATTGTAGGATTTTTAAAGAATTAATTGGTAAATTCCTCGGTAAAATAAGTATTTGGTCACCTACAAACAAGCAAGATTTCTGGC